TCCCTCCCTCTGCCCCCCAGGCCCACTCCCACTGCCCCCTAGGCCCACACCTGCTGCCCCCCAGGCCCACTCCCACTGCCCCCCCAGACCCTCCCACTGCCCCTCAGGCCCTCTCCCACTACTCCCCACCCCCTCCTATGCTGCCCCCCCAGACCCTCTCACTGCCCCCCAGGCCCTCCCACGCTGCCCCCCAGGCCCTCCCACACTGCCCCCACCGCACCTTCAAGCCAAGCTCGGGCTCTGCCATTTGGACCATTTGCACTCACAGGGGATGGAAATGGCAGAAACTGTGGCTGGGGGCTCCCAGGATGGGCTCCAGAGAGGGGATCCCAGGGTCCCCCAGCTTCTGTCCTGAGGCCCATGAGGGCAGCACAAGCCAGGAGGCCAGGCCATGGGAGGCCGGTCGGTGACTGCTCCTGCCTCAGTCTGTGTGAGGGGGTGCTGTCCCCGTGGCCTCACCGTAGGAAACGTGGGCTCAGGGAGGGGGGATGCCTCCTCAGGGCCCGATCAGCGCCGCCCCACTGGCAGGGTCCTGGACCTCGGGTTTGGAGCGCCTCCAAGTGGGTCATCGGAACCACAGGAGTCCCAGTCCATTCGTCACGGCCCCACTGAGCTCGTGCGCAGACACCTGAGCTGTCCCTGCAGATGGGCCTCCTGACGCGCAGCCGTCCAGGCCACGTGGGGCCTGGCCATGGTGTGGTCACCTCCTCCCGTCCCTGCTCTCCTGACTGACCCGTCTGTCCTGCCTGCAGGCGCCGAGCCGTCCCCGGCCCTGCTGGTGCCCAGCGCTAAGCGCCGCAGCCGGAAGACCAGCAAAGACACCGGGGATGGCAAAGACGGGGGTGCGCCGGGGTCCGAGGAGCCAGGTACCAAGGCGCGAGGGCGCGGAAGGAAACCCAGCACCAAAGCCAAGGGTGGTAAGTTGGCAACGGCGTGTGGGGACTGCACATGGGGGCTCTGCACAGAGACCCCACCTCCACAGCTAGGGAGCAGCTCAGGAGGCACGTTCATGTCAGAGGTAGAGCCAGGTGTGCGCGCTCCAGGTGTGAGTGCTCCAGGTGTGTGTCCTCCAGGTGTGTGTGCTCTAGGTGTGAGCGCTCCAGGTGTGTGTGCTCCAGGTGTGAATTCTCCAGGTGTGTGTGCTCCAGGTGTGAGTTCTCCAGGTGTGAATTCTCCAGGTGTGAGTCCTCCAGGTGTGAGTGCTCCAGGTGTGAGTGCTCCGGTGTGAGTGCTCCAGCTGTGTGTGCTCCAGGTGTGAATTCTCCAGGTGTGTGTGCTCCAGGTGTGAGTTCTCCAGGTGTGAATTCTCCAGGTGTGAGTCCTCCAGGTGTGAGTCCTCCGGGTGTGAGTCCTCCAGGTGTGAGTGCTCCAGTGTGAGCGCTCTGGGTGTGAGCGCTCCGGGTGTGAGCGCTCCGGGTGTGTGCACTCTGGGTATGAGTGCTCCAGCTGTGTGTGTGCTCCAGATGTGAGCGCTCCAGGTGTGAGCGCTCCAGGTGTGAGTGCTCCAGTGTGAGCGCTCCGGGTGTGAGCGCTCCGGGTGTGAGCGCTCCGGGTGTGTGCACTCCGGGTATGAGTGCTCCAGCTGTGTGAGCGCTCCAGGTGTGAGCGCTCCGGGTGTGAGCGCTCCAGAGCCTGCAGGAAAGGACTTCAGGCTGAGCCGAGGCTCCCAGACACTTGGGGCCATGCTGTGGGTCAGGCCCAGAGAGGGGGCCAGGCACAGGCCGAGCTCGGGAGCCGGCAGCGCGGGGTGGCAGGGCTCTCAGGCTGGGAGGCCGGCCTGCCTTACCTGTGCCGCCTCCTCTCTTCCAGACAGAGCTGCTGCCCTGGAGGAGGGGGGCCCAGCGGAGGAGGTTCCCAGTGCCCCGCTGGCCCTGGAGCCAGTCAGCACCCCAAGTTCCAAGAAGAGCCCCCCAGAGCCTGTGGACAAGCGGACCAAAGCCCCCAAGGCTCGCCCAGCAGCCCCCCAGCCCAGCCCTGTGCCATCCACTTTCACTAACTGCCCAGCT